TTTTTCCAGGTCCACTACAGTAGCGTAGGAAGACTTACCTTCCGTGTGCTGCACTTTGAAGATTGGAAGCGTAGATCTAGTCTGAGGCGCTGGGAGAGCTGGAGAAGCTGGAGAGATTAATGGGCCTTTTCCTTAATGGAATTAAGGAAAAGACCATCGATAATGGATACTAGTTCTGAAAGTGACGGCGAGTGGCATCACGTGAATAAGGCTAACAGGACAAGCCACTCCATGACGACCCAGTTATACTAGTTCATTAGGTGAATATATATGGATCGAACAATGGGGTCAGGTGTAAACAGTGGGGATACCCTAGGGTAAACATAGGGGTAAAGAGTAGGGAGACAAGAAGCTGAGGAACAGAAGGCTAAATAGGGTACACACAAAGATTGATCAAGGGTAGTGGGCGCTGTTTCTTGAGTAGTATCTTCTATGCTGGCATTTTCACGTTCTGGTCTTGCTCCTACTCTCATGGTGGGTAGAGTGAATAGTTCCGTGATTTAAGTATTCATGGTAGGTTGTTCTATTTTTATGTGGATTGCTTCAAGAATTTGTTATCTTCTTACATCTTGGGTTTTGTTTATTATACGGGTGTTTTTATTCAGCATTTCTCTTGTTAGGTTGATGTCATGGGCTTGTTTCATGTGATTTCCTGGGGGCACCGGATTGAAGATGACAGGTCAAACGCCTCGTCAGCTTGGTCGACGTCATACCTATGTACTTAGATTGAAGGTTACATCCTTCATGGGGACAAGTGTACATGTATACAACGCTTGACTGCTGTAAAGGGTTCTCCGTCGGCTTCGGGCTGTTTTTAATAAGGAGGTCGGTAGTCTTCTTTGTTTTATAGAATATGATCAGGTCTATGTTTTGGTTAGGAGTAGTGCTTTTTACTCCTTTATGGATTATTTATTTCATTATTCTTTCTTCTTTTTTATGTTCACTGTGCATAGTTGATTTGTAATATAATTTTATTGGGGGTGTTGTGGTTTCTGTTCTAGGTTCTGAATTATACCAACGGTCCAAGTGTCTTCTTATAGCAGCGTTTATTTCCGCGTTGCTATATCCATTGTTCACCAATACCTGAGTTATTCTTTCAAACTCTCTACTCACATTGCTCCATTCAGAGCAGTGGGTAAGCGCTCGACGAATATAAGCATTGAGAACACTGGCTTTGTATCTTTGGGGGCACTCACTTCTACCGTTCAGGCATAATCCTATGTTGGTGGGCTTGGTATATACGTTGGTGCTTAAAGAGGTTCCTGTTTTTGTTATTAGTACATCCAAGAATGGCAGACTGTTATTTTCACTATTTTCATGTGTAAATCGGAGTACTGACTCTCTTTCTAGGTGTCTTTTTAGGTCAATTAGTTCATCTGAGTCTTTTACTATTACGAATATGTCATCTACATAACGGCAGTATACAGTTGGTTTTTGTCTGCTACTGAAGACCCTATCTTCGATGGTTCCCATATAAAAATTAGCAAATAAAACTCCTAAGGGGGAGCCCATTGCTACTCCGTCTATTTGTAAATACATGTCTCCTTGTGGACTGATGAAAGGGGCTTCCTTTGTACATTCCTGAAGAAGGCTCTTCAAGTGAGGCTCGGGTATGTCTAATTTAGGGGTGCTCTCGTCTCTGTATACTCTGTCCAATATCATTTCTATGGTTGTGTCGACTGGGACGTTGGTAAATAGGGATTCGACGTCCAGGGAAGCAATGATTCCATCGGGCTGTGTAGTTTTGACTAATTCTAAGAAATCTGCTGACAATTGTAGACTAGAGTTGCATGGAGTGTAAGGAGTTAGCAGTCCGTTAAGTTTTTTTTGCGAGATGATAGGTTGGAGTTGGTATTTGGCTGATTATTGGACATAGTGGGTTACCTGGTTTGTGTGTCTTAATATTGTCATAAGCATGTCCTAAGCCATAGTCGCCCTGGAGTTTAGCGAAATGAACACTGCATTTTTTGCATTGATTGCGGTAATAGTTTTGTTCACTTTCCGTTTAAGGTCTTCTACGGGGTTCCTCGTGATTCGTTGAAATTTAGTGTCATCACAAAGGATGTCACTAATTTTATTCATGTATTCTTGGGTAGAAATCAACACATTTGCTGCTGTCTTGTCGGCTTTTCTTATTGTTACATCTTCCAGTTTTTTTAGTTGTTTCGCTGCTTCTTTGAGTCGTGGGGTTAAGATTGTCGACAAGTATGTTCCTCGTTTTTTCCCTGGCTTCTGTTAGTAGTTCAGCGTGAACTGTGTCAGTGGTGATGACATTTTTGTTGTCTTCTAGCTTATGGAAGTCGTCCAGAAGCATTTCGATTTCCATACGTTTTTATGCATCTTTGGTTTAGATATTAATTGACAATTTAGACCAAGACTTAAGAGGTCTCGTTGGTCCTGGGTAAGATCATAAGAAGTCAGGTTAATGTAGCCATCTTTAGGACAAGGGATCTTTAACTGTCCACCGTTTAGGGCTGTTAACTTACGGAGTGTCTTTGTTTCTACACGAGTTTTGTGTTGTTGTTTCAGGGTTCAGTAGTTCACAGTTAATGGTTAATACAGTTAATATCTTCTGTATTAACAGAAGATAGATAATACAGAATATGCTGTCATATTCAGTGACACACACACACACATACCCATACACATATACGCGCACACACACACACACATTATATATATATATATATATATATATATATATATATATATATATATATATATATATATATATATATATATATATATATATATATATATGTCGTACCTTGTAGCCAGAACGCACTTCTCAGCCTACTATGCAAGGCCCGATTTGCCTAATAAGCCAAGTTTTCATGAATTAATGTTTTTTCGACTACCTAACCTACCTAACCTAACCTAACTTTTTCGGCTACCAAACCTAACCTAACCTATAAAGATAGGTTAGGTTTGCTTAGGTAGGGTTGGTTAGGTTCGGTCATATATCTACGTTAATTTTAACTCCAATAAAAAAAAGACCTCGTACATAATGAAATGGGTAGCTTTATCATTTCATAAGAAAAAAATTAGAGAAAATATATTAACTCAGTAAAACTTGGCTTATTAGGCAAATCGGGCCTTGCATAGTAGGCTGAGAAGTGCGTTCTGGCTACTAGGTACGACATATATATATATATATATATATATATATATATATATATATATATATATATATATATATATATATATATATATATATATATATATATAAGGTGAAAACTCACACCCCAGAAGTGACTCGAACCCATACTGCCAGGAGCACTCTGCTGGCATACAGGATCCCTTAACCGCTCGACCAACACGACCGGACAAAAGAGGATGGTAGTCGAGGGTATTTCCATCACCCCACTGGCACTCGATTGGTAATTGTGTTCCTCACGTGTGCCCCAAAGAATGAGGTGATTTGATAAAATACCATGCCCAAGATTACCAACCGTGTGCTGGCGGGGGGATGGAAATAACCTCGGCTACCATCCTCTTTTGTCCGGTCGTGTTGGTTGAGCGGTTTAAGGGATCCTGTACGGCAGCAGAGTGCTCCTGGCAGTATGGGTTCGAGTCACTTCTGGGGTGTGAGTTTTGAGTTGCATATAGTCCTGGGGATCATTCAGGCTTGTTCGCATTATATATATATAATATATATATATATATATATATATATATATATATATATATATATATATATATATATATATATATATATATATATATATCAGAAGATACATTGGGTTTATGAGCGTACATATCATTGGTGTGGTCGCTAAATACGGTGTTAATATTAGAATAGCAAAAATGATGTACTTAGCATATGTAAGGTCTCTGATAGACTATCATGCACCAGTTTTAGTCCTGGAAAATGGCAAAAGTATTGGTAGACTGGAAAAATACAAAATGAAGCATTCAGAATTATACTTGGCTGTCCAATAACTACCAGAATTCTTAATATGTGGAAAGAATTAAATATGCCTAGCATTCGAGATAGAATATTTGAAATCAGTCTTATGATGGGACTAAAGCTTCTGCGTGATAACGAAAACAACATTGTGTCAGTTGAACTGTTAGAACACATACGTAATGGAACCAGCGAGTCTAAATAGATTCAAAGAACAACCACTCTTATTAAAATGATGGGACTGCACGATGTACATACAGATGAAAGAGTACAGCACTTCCTTTCACCCTGGCAGATAGTACCTTTTGACATCTTGACGCCTGCATACCCCCACCAAGAAACTAATCACAAACAACCCTAATGCTCAGACTGGTGCTAAATTAAGCACCATAGAACACCTTCACAATATGCAAACTGAAAACAACATCGCACAGACCATATACACTTCAGAGTTTTCTCCGGTCCTGGACTATGTTTAGGACATATATATAGTTGTTGGTTGGTCGATAAGACCAGTGGAGGCCTTTACCCTCCATAGAGGGATAGACCTTATGCCTAACACCAACCCTAACAATCAAATAAACGCATTGAAAACTTATGCAGCCCCTGGTTTAACAAAGATCCTAAGACAAAAGTTTTGAATGATTCACTACTGAGATTCTCTCTCACCCGGAGTGTGAATTAACTCGCCTACCCCTTGGCTGCAGGGGTAAGGCCACTAGAGAACCGAGTGATCTACCTCTTTACCTATGGATACAAGGAAGGCAACCAGGAAAGAAAATAGCCTAGGGACCTACCTCTTTAGACCTATGCATACGAGGATGGCAACCAGGGAAGAAAATAGCCTAGTGACCTACCTCTTTAGACCTATGCATACAAGGACGGCAATCAAGGAAGAAAATAGCCCAGTGTCCTACCTCTTCACCCATGGATACAGGGAAGGTAACCATGGAAGAAAATAGCCTAGTGACCTACCTCTTTAGACCTATGCATACGAGGACGGCAACCAAGGAAGAAAATAGCCCAGTGTCCTACCTCTTCACCCATGGATACAGGGAAGGTAACCATGGAAGAAAATAGCCTAGTGACGTACCTCTTCCAGGTGTGGATGCAGGGGAGGGCCACTAGACAGCCGCCCGTCACCATCGCCGGCTTGCTGTACCCAACACCTGCAACAATTAAGGTCTTGGTTACTGTCTGTCAAGAAACCAAAATAATGAAGGCTGAGAGTGATGACATGATTAGCATTATCGGGGCCAAGGCTACATGTTAGTGAGCGCGTCTCAACCTAGCCTTAATATACATAGAGCGTCGGTGCAGTATACACATATACACCCAAAAAGTTAATTTCGTAAGCTATTGATTTTGCAAAGGCCACAAAGAAGAACATAACGAAATTTAATCTCTTCCATGTAGAGATTAACATTTATAAAACTAACTTAACCATCTTAGGCCTAATACATGTTGTATTAGGACGTGTATTGACTAATACACGTTGAAACATTTAAGTTTGGGTTTCAGCTTTACTTTTCTTGACAATATAAAGTGAACAGTACCATAAACAGTTTATTCGTACACTACTTATATGTAGTAAATTATTCTCACTATTTTGTAAGTTAGCTCTAAAATTTCTTATTAGGCCTAGGAGAGGTTAAATTGGGTTGTTGCATTTTTTTATGTCATTTGTCAGTAGTACAAAAAGCGGTGGGGTACAATATTAAACATTTTTTTCATAAAATCCATAGTCGCTCCAGGTACTATAATTTTTAAAGGAAGGCTTGGAGCGTTAAAAGCACGAAAATAAATAAATAAAATACGTGTAACTACAGATCTAAATATCCATGTCACCAATATAACATGAGCCTAGAAGAAAAGCACGGGTGGCACACTGATGCTGGTGCAATGTCTTGCAACAATTATGTATAACAACAGAGCCGACACGAAGGGTTACCAACACGTCACACAATAGCCTCGCCTTTTAACAAAGGTAAAATCGTTATTTTTTATGGTAGTAACATTTCGGTCCGTCCTGAACCATTATTAAGCCGTGTCCTTTCAGGAAGGTTCGAAACCTCGTCCTTCCATTATTTTCAGGCGTGTGGGTGGGCTGGGGTGCCTAATTTTCAGTCACGTTATTTTGACTTACTGCCTGCATATTATATATATATATATATATATATATATATATATATATATATATATATATATATATATATATATATATATATATATATATATATGTCGTACCTAGTAGCCAGAACGCACTTCTCAGCCTACTATGCAAGGCCCGATTTGCCTAATAAGCCAAGTTTTCCTGAAATAATATATTTTCTCTAATTTTTTTCTTATGAAATGATAAAGCTACCCATTTCATTATGTATGAGGTCAATTTTTTTTATTGGAGTTAAAATTAACGTAGATATATGACCGAACTAACCAACCCTACCTAACCTAACCTATCTCTATAGGTTAGGTTAGGTTAGGTAGCCGAAAAAGTTAGGTTAGGTTAGGTTAGGAAGGTTAGGTAGTCGAAAAAACATTAGTTCATGAAAACTTGGCTTATTAGGCAAATTGGGCCTTGCATAGTAGGCTGAGAAGTGTGTTCTGGCTACTAGGTACGACATATATATATATATATATATATATATATATATATATATATATATATATATATATATATATATATATATATATATATGTCATACCTAGTAGCCAGAACGCACTTCTCAGCCCACTATGCAAGGCCCAATTTGTCTAATAAGCCAAGTTTTCCTGAATTAATATGTTTTCTCTAATTTTTTTCTTATAAAATGATAAAGCTACCCATTTCATTATGTATGAGGTCAATTTTTTGTTATTGGAGTTAAAATTAACGTAGATATATGACCAAACCTAACCAACCCTACCTAACCTAACCTATCTTTATAGGTTAGGTTAGGTTAGGTAGCCAAAAAAGTTAGGTTAGGTTAGGTTAGGTTAGGTTAGGTAGGTTAGGTAGTCGAAAAACAATTAATTCATGACAACTTGGCTTATTAGGCAAAAAAGGGACTTGCATAGTAGGCCGAGAAGTGCGTTCTGGCTACTAGGTACGACATATATATATATATATATATATATATATATATATATATATATATATATATATATATATATAAATTAATTAGTATATTTTGGTAGCAGTCTTTCTTGTAAACATATGTTGTTGAATATGACCGAAAGGGTGTGTGTGTGTGTGTGTGTGTGTATATATATAAATATTATATATATATATATATATATATATATATATATATATATATATATATATATATATATATATATATATATATATATATATATATATATATACATACATATATATATATATATATATATATATATATATGACCAAAGTATATATATATATATATATATATATATATATATATATATATATATATATATATATATATATATATATATATATATATATATATATATATATATATATATATATATATATATATTATATATATATATATATATATATATATATATATATATATATATATATACATACATATATTATATATATATATATGTCGTACCTAGTAGCCAGAACTCACTTCTCAGCCTACTATTCAAGGCCCGATTTGCCTAATAAGCCAAGTTTTCCTGAATTAATATATTTACTATAATTTTTTTCTTATGAAATGATAAATCTACCCTTTTCACTATGTATGAGGTCAATTTTTTTTTATTGGAGTTAAAATTAACGTAGATATATGACCGAACCTAACCAACCCTACCTAACCTAACCTAACCTATATATATAGGTAAGGTTAGGTTAGGTAGCCAAAAAAAGCTAGGTTAGGTTAGGTTAGGTAGGTTAGGTAGACGAAAAAACATTAATTCATGAAAACTTGGCTTATTAGGCAAATCGGGCCTTGCATAGTAGGCTGAGAAGTGAGTTCTGGCTACTAGGTACGACATATATATATATATATATATATATATATATTATATATGTATATATATTATATATGTATATATATATATATATATATATATATATATATATATATATATATATATATATATATATATATATATATATACATACATATATTATTTTATTAAATATGACCGAAAAAGTAAGATTAATAATTCTAACACGAATTTTCTCAATCTTTCGTACATTATGCTTCACTGTTGGAGGTAAATCAAAAATCACTTCTCCAAAATTCATTTTTATTTCTAGTCTGACGCGACACGGGCGCGTTTCGTAAAACTTATTACATTTTCAAAGACTTCACAAATACACAACTGATTAACAACTGTGTATTTCAACTGATTGAAATACACAACTGCAAGTTCTAATCAGTTGTGTATTTGTGAAGTCTTTGAAAATGTAATAAGTTTTACGAAACGCGCCCGTGTCGCGTCAGACTAGAAATAAAAATGAATTTTGGAGAAGTGATTTTTGATTTACCTCCAACAGTGAAGCATAATGTACGAAAGATTGAGAAAATTCGTGTTAGAATTATTAATCTTACTTTTTCGGTCATATTTAATAAAATATGTCTACAGGAAAGACTGCTACCAAAATATACTAATACATATATTATATATATATATATATATATATACATATATATATATATATACATATATTATATATATATATATATATGACCAAATTATATATATATATATATATATATATATATATTATATATATATATATATATATATATATATATATATATATATATATATATATATATACATACATATATATATATATATATATATATATATATATATATATATATATATATATGTATATATATTATATATGTATATATATATATATATATATATATATATATATATATATATATATATATATATATATAAATATATATATATATTGTGGGTTTGTGCATAGTTTGACCTTGGTTATGTTGATTTCAGCCCATCCTGTTTTGGTAGTACTTACAGTAACGATGAGGACTATAGTATATATTCCGACGTACAAAAAATTAGAACGTAGAAATTTGAACTATTGAGTTGGACAGACCAGAAAACTATTTTTCACTAGTATTGCTTTGACAATCTAAACTAACCTATCCTAACCTCCCTAGGCTTAATACGCGATATCTGAGGCCTAATATAGTACATGTGTGTGCTATACTAAGCCTAGGAATATTTAAGTTTGTGTTTTAGCTTCATTTATTTTAAAAGAACTCCTTACAAGTCAGTATACTACTATCTAAAAGCTAAGAATGTTCGAATTCTGACTATTGACGATCGTCACAATAGGTACTATCTTAACAGGAGGATGGGTTGATTGATTTAGGGAAAGTTTTGAGAACAAGGTAAAGTGTGTGGTATACCTGGAGTGATTTAATAAAAGTTTAGCAGACTAATGAGTTTAGGCTTAATACCTTCCCTATGTTATTGGGAACTCGCAAACCACATCGGTGACTTTGATTATTGTGTATTGGTGTTCAGGTACCTAAAGGATATGGAGAGTTTTCCCTGAATAACTTATAATGTTATATGTTTTTAGTAACTTGTAAATATTTATTTTGTTATTTGACTTAGGCGTATCTAAGCCGCTTTGGAGATTGTCCCGAATTTTACCAGCAGTCTGCTGCTAATATCAATCATAAATCCCAAGTGATACTAACCATAGGACATCAGTACTAGCCTAGAGCACAGTGGTTTAAGTTTTTTTTAACCTATGGTGTAGATCGTTTACAATGTCACTGTTGATACCAACTCCAAAGAATTTGTGCTGCCCACACGTTTCAATGTTCTGGTTGTTGACCTTGAAAGTTAGATGGACATGAGTTTTCTCTTGAGGATGGAGACCTCTGGATTTAGTTATAGTGATAACAAGACCATATTCAGTGCTTTTTAGCAGCGAGTGAATCAAGTAGAGCTTGCAGTCTAGTTTGGGCATTTGCAACAATGCAAATGTCATCGGCATAGCAGATGACGGCTTCGTCAGCTAGTGTGGGAATATTAATTGTTAATTTGTGCATCAGAACATTGATCAGTGTTGGGCTAAGTACTCCAAACTGGGATGTACCCAACTCAAAGGGTACACAATGTTCACTTTTGACCCCCTTGAAAGGGACTGAGGTGGTTCTGTTACTCAGGTAACCCCTGTACCAAGTCA